TTTACTATTTGATGGGTGGCTTACCCATGGTTCGCACGTCCCGAGACCCCTTCCCCTAAATATAGCCACATCCTTGCTCGTTGTTAGCTTCGTTCACTTTCGTTGAGTTGGATCATGTCTATTGAACGTTGTATTATCAGGGGAGCCTCTCTCTTGACCACACTAAATCTCAAACCAATACCCGGTCTTGGCGGGAATTCCGCTGTGGATGTCCACTACAAGAGTGTCCAGCAGCCGTCTTCCTATTACCCGTCTTCGCGTATTGCACTAGTCCTTGTTTTCCGATTGTTCGACTATTGCGTATTCGTCCAATTAACTTCGAAACGCTCCTTCAATCATAAGCTACAAGAAAGGAAGGGACACATGAGTGCGAAGCCAGCCTTGGAAAAGTAGTGATAAGTTTGTAAGCAAACCAATACGCCTTGGGCATGGGCAGGATTGGATCGACATATTGATTGTGACCTTCAAACTTTTTCGCGGGATAGCGAATTCCTTCGGGAAACACCGTGACGTTCCAGAACTTAAATTTTGTTATTATCGAACTGACACTACTACATATTACGTCGTTATTTTTTGTTCAACAGTCAGGAATAGCCTTTAATTCACTATGATGGATCCGTGTTGCTCGCCTTCATGATGAAGGTGTCGGTCACCTATGAAGCAGCCAAATGAAGGAACATACGAAGGCGTTATTCGACAAAACAAAGACTGGGACGATGTGGGCCAGAACGAGCCCACAAAGTTGCTGATGACTCTTTCTGACAGCTTCGTGCCATCAACAGTGTTTCAAAAGGGCAACGAGATACAGCACGTCAGTTATATAGCCGCCTCAGCGAAGTAAGTGGATTTCTACCAAGGTCAATAGCGAGGACTTGTCTGCTCACTGGCCCTACAACGGATGCACCTATTGTCAAGAAAGATTGGTGCCGGTTATTTTCATCTTTGGCGACGGTAGCCCGCATGAGAATGAAACCCATAGCAGTCGCTCTGCTACTGAAAAACGTATAAACAATACAGAATCGATCGTAATGACGCTGTCCACTTCGTGGAATTTTCTGCGGTTTTGTTGAAGCAGTATCTGTGCAGCCTCATAACCAGCATTGAATCTGCCAGCGAGCCCCACACAGGCCAGAAGCACACCCACGGAATTCATTTAAAGGATGTTCTGAAAAGCTACTTTGGTTCTTTGCGTCCACGTGAATTCATAGGTCGACATACCGCCAATGAGAGCAGTTGGAGAAAGTCGGATAACGTGTGCGTGAATATTTTAAGCAGAAGAAAGAAAATAGCTCAAAGGACCTTCAAAGCGATACCCCAAGTTTTCATCATTCAGGACCAGCTAGCACCATGAGGTCAGCGCAAAAGGACTCCATGATGTTTCCCACACTAATACTCCCAAAGGCAATTCCACTATTACAGCGCCATGGACGGCCGCATCTTCATCGTAGTCACATGCTGGCCACAAAGTCGTGGGTATGGTATACGCCGCAGCTATCTTACGCCTGCCCCTGTCCACTTAAGATTTTTGACAATTCTTGAAACTTTTCTGTGTTACTCAAGATAAGGATCTCTTAACACTCTAGGAACTTTTCTTGTATGTTGTCAACCGGTACTATTACGCTTACATTCATTATTATTGTTCTACGAACACCTACGAATTGTTACATGAATTTGTTTCACCAGCATATTGTGTAAGTCTGAAGTTTCAGAGACGCCACTTCATCCAGGGGAGGCGTGTTGAGGTATGTCGTGTCTATGGGTCATTGTATAATTTCTGTAGCCTTTCTCTTGACCGCACAAACTTTACTTCGTTACCCCTTTTGTGGGAATAAATTGACACTATGAGAAGACCCATCAGTCTTATCTTTATTATTCTTCTTGTTCGCGCATTGCACTATTCACTACTGTTTTCGAGTTGCCTGACTATTGCTTATTTGCCAACTGATCTGAACCACGGTCCTAATTCTAAGGAAGGGACATGCTTTTGTACAAAACTGTTTATAAATATGGTCACTGAAGGAGTGAACGAAAGAGAACCTCTGAATGTACCACATAATTGCAATGATTATTCGATATAGAAAGTTTCTAGTTCATAATGCCGTAGAAAAGTTTCTGTTATCGCATTTGAAGGAGCTTATTGTTCTTGAAAAAGCATAAACCCGTGCCTCTCAAAAATATTAGTCGTTCTTTCTGCGAAAATCCTCAATGGAGCCACATATGGGATACTGAATGAATCACGTCATTTTAATGAGCGTTCAGTAGAGCAAATCTTCTAGTTTACGATGCCGTATGAACGTTCCTGAAGTGCTGCATTTAAGGTAAGTTATGGCTTTCCAAACTGTAAAAACTCGCGCTGTTCAGGAGTATTCCTCGTTAATTACCCGAGAACGATATTCGGTATTCAACATTCACAAGAAAGCGCTTGTAGAGAAATTCCCTAACACTCTTTCAGATTGAGTATTCGTCCACTCTGAAGAAAGTTACGGTCATTTGGATAGGGGTTCAATTTTCAATGTGTTCCCCTAATACATAAGCTTTTCTAAGGTCAACACATGCATGGGAAGATCAACCGCATCTCTTCCCGGGCCGCCTTACGCGGAACAGAGTTGCTACTACCCTACTCGCCCAAAATCCCTTCAAAACTACCGTAAAGCAGTGATTATGAATAGCTCCTGAAACAAGCAAATTCTCCACACTCACGTCTATTTCCGTCCTTTCCAATGGTAACGAATTTCCCCAACCCCAGAAAGGAGCAAATTTCTACACTGCGACCCCTTCTACTTTTGGCACGTTGACGACCGCCGTTGTGCGCGTACTGCTTCAACATTTTTCGTATTATCTCAGCAATAGGTACTGATCCTTCACCATTTGAATTACCAATGAATTACCATTTGAATTGCAATGGAAAAATTGTTTTTCGGATCCAATAATGTACATGGACCGTTGTGGAACAGGAAAAAACGCCAAATAAATTAGGAAAAACTAAAATGCTTCATGTGAAAGTGTGGTATGACATCATACCACACGGTCGTCAACGTGTTAATGGCCCTCACCAAGATCCAAAAATAACCACCCGTCCAAAACCCAAAGCGAGTGCCATGGTGACTCGCGTGTTAACGTAGATAAACGACGTGCAGTGGAGAAGACAGATGGCATTTTTGCGGTGGATGGCGTATTATCGACTGCCACACGCCTGGCGAATATGCTATCAGAATCGTTCACCTATCTCGAGAAGAGTGAGATTCACGTCAATTCGTCGGCCGGTGTCTTCTTATTTTACCTACCGCTTTTCTGTCGGGATATCCTCATTTGAACAGCATTCATTAGACATTGGCTACCTAACACGAACGAGCAGAATAACAGTTCCTTTTCTCGATTTTTAATTATTTCTTCTAGTTTCTTTTCTGGGCCGATCCGATTGCCTCAGATTATTGCTCCAGTTCCTTCCTGACCATACAAAACCCCGATAAACTATACACTAGCCATAAAAGCCATCACCGGTTACCAGATGAAACGGTACAAATGGTAACGGCATCAGTGTTGAAATTCTAGTCCCAAAAGAACACTTCCCTACAAAACATAATCACATCGTAAACTCCCCACCTCACCTTACAATCTAACAAGACTTGGGGAGACCAAGCGCTTCGGCGAAGGGCACCAGAACCGAACGGGAATGCCTTACCCACATTTCCGACATCATACGCAGGAATTGAAGTAGTAACATTTCCACTTCCGGAACGAGGACCAAAAATACTTTCGTAACTCCACGTTTTGTAAAATGCCATAAAGTAACTCATATAGGAAAAAGAACAGTTACGCACGTAGCATAATTTTTTCACTAAAGGATGATAAACAATCACGACTACAACGCGAAAAATGACAAATACAGACCCATACCTGAGTGTATGCACTGGGAACCATAGAAAACAAATCTACCAGAAAAAAAGAGTAACATGAGACTGGACACAGCATCTAAACACGGATTAAACAAGAAAGCCACACACTCGTTGCGACAAGATAATTATCATAGGGGCGGGCCACCGAAACACTCGCATTGAACGCCATTGACCCTGACCTCGGTTAAACATAACAAACGGTACCTCACCAGTGCGGCACCTACTCCAGTACTATCACCGGTCTGCACGCTACTAAGGATCGCACAAACAAATACTTAATACCTCCCCCTCTATTCATCCATCTTCGGCCACTCCTCAAGACAAATACGGATCATCCGACGTCAAAGTAACAGAAATCTGCCAGATGCCTGCATTTTCGGCATTTCCATGGTTGCGTATTACGCGACCGGTAGGCGACTCGGGCAGATGTTCTCAGGTAGCTTGTACTATAGAAGGTTATTTTACCACTCTGGCTCTTACTTAGATAAATCGTTGCAAACAACACCGTTATTCTGTGCCAATTTGGATAACAAAACCCGACAGGTTCCATAAAAATGGTATAATAATATTTAGAACAATGATCTGATTTTTTCTTAGCCTCTGACCGGAGGGGTAAAAGTCATTTCGCTCAGGCACCATCACTAAACTTTTGTCGCAACAGGCACCGGGGGGGGGGCGAACAAGACGCCACGATGAGACTTTACCCAGCGCAATATCTCGATTTTTCTTAAAAAACAAAGCAGGATTCCTTTCAATACTTGCGGCATCGTCGACTCAAGAAGGCACTTTAGCATTCACAGGGACAGTAGTCGAACTAGACAAGACCCCTTTCAAACGGCGTTTCAAAAAATGCCGTTATGGTCCGTAATCCGTCGAGGACCCTGTTTAGCTCGACCCGTGCACCATGTTTTCGTGGCGAATTCTTCCGATGTTGTCGCTGCACAAGTATATTCCTTTTAATTGAAGAATTGAAAAGTGCCCTTCAATTTTCAGTTGGAATCATCCGCTTCGAATGAAGCTAAGTGCTATTAACCCGTTTTAAATGTGGAGGGAGTGTGGCTCGTATTTTATTTGCTAGTGCATGCTCACAAATGCGCGACCAATTTATTCGAGCACGAGATTTTTTGTCAAAAAAAGAGCTTGCATACTCAGTCTCTCAGATGCCATCTGTAGAATATTTGGGAGCGGAGGAAAATAGTGAAGAGTATTGTCGTTTGGCAATGATTCATATATGCTAACGTCTGGGTAGAGTCCTTGAGACGCTCTCGGTTCATTCGAAGCCTGAAATTTCTCCAATAAATCAGGAACAAAAAGCAATTATAGAAGGATCGGTAGAGTTGGTTCTTCAATATGAATGTATAAACATTATTTTAAAAACACTGAGAGTGACATTTCACTTTGATGTGAGCTGTAGAACAATCCCTTGTTCTCATTAATTAACTTGGTCCTGGCTTCAGTTGACAGTAGCTCTACCTTCTACCTTGAAACATCATATTCGATGGTAAATATATGAGAATTTGTGCCGTACCCATGACAGGACTAGGTTAGCCGGAACCAAATTTTGTACCGAAAAGCAAGCTATGCTGAATCAATTCGTACAGGTTTTTTTTTCACTATTCATGTCAAGGTAATGTTCGATTCCAAACGCTCGATCTTCCTACCCTTTATGCGAGGACTCTGACTGATCTTAGTCTGGGCAAAAACTCCCTAACTCATATGCATCACGCTTTGCTGTGGCTGTTGTTACGAATGAGGGATGCAGAAACCTGGTCATTGCAGCTTTCGCTCACCACAAATCCGTAACATCTGGCGTGATTTACGGTATGTGTCCATTTTCTTTACAGATACATTTTACTTGACGCCTCGGAGTTATGGTAGACACTTGCCGACCACTGAAGTTAGCTTGTTGTTTGTTTTCTCTGCTACCCAGTACACTAGGTTGTCGTAAAAAACTTAGCGCATTTTTCATTTTTTTTTATTTTTCTTTTCTTCATAGTGAACAACTAATTATTTATATACCCCACCACCATCGAAATATAACCTTCCTGAGGTTGTGGATGCCACACGGATGGAAATTGTAAATTTCTGGGGCACAGAACCCGAAGAAGTCTTTCTCGGGTATGTCCGTATAATCAGACTACCCTACTTTCAGCCGACTCGACAGCAAAATACGATGACGGCAGTCATTGGTGCCAGGTCTGTTAAACACACCTGGAGTGTCAGACCGTCCCTTAATGAATCTGAGAGCTTTGCTGGACCTTTTTCGTGATCCAAGGACAAGCGTTAACGAGATAAGGTGAACTTTATCTGTTCTTCGAGCTCAGTGCTGGCCGAATGTTGTTCACCAATAGCATCGGAGTTTGTTGGTGAGAGCTCTCATCGTTTGGCCACGTGTTGGGCCAGATGGCTGATGTCGGCTATGAACTGCGAGGCTGAAAGCTTTAGCTTTAGCTTTGTACATCGGCTAAACGGCTCAACACGAGCTGACACTGACGAGCTATGGTAAGTATACCATGAAAAGCTGAGTTGGAGCGAAATGGTGCCCCGGTAGCGTAACTGGTAGCGCACTTGCCCGGAAAGCGAGAGGTGCGGGTTCTAGTCCCGCCTGGGGCGAAAGTTTTGTTCATAGCCCAATATTCTTCTAGAATTTGTTCTCAGGTTGCTGTTCTGGCTCGGGATTGAAATCCTTGGCATACGCATTCGAGCCACTAGCGCTTCCGCGTATACAATACTGCTCCTAATTTTGAAAGATCTACGCGTTGCGACGGTTTTGTAGCGTCGCAAACCGTCGCACCATCATTCCCTCAAAAGCGGGTAAAATGAAAGGATCTTACAGCAATGGACTCGTCTCTCTGTGGCGAGTCTAACCATGTGCAAAACTACTAATTTGGTTAAACTGGTAATAAGTTATTCCATGAAAACTATTGTCGATCCCTCGTCTGACAGTCTCGCCTCTCCTCGTTTCCATTATCTCTCCAATCGGGGACCAGCTCTTAGCTACCGCCTCGATGATTTCGTAACGCCTCACTTCGAGCCCTTCGCCACTTACGATTGGACGTAAACGCCAAGATGCTCGCCTCTTCGAAAAAATTTCCCGCGCGCGCTCGTTAAACAATCTAGCACTGACCATGAGGCGACCTTCAGCTAACTACATATACATATACGAAATTCCTAGCTCCTTGGGATCCACCTGGAGGGACCGGGTCAAGTGTGGGATGGGTGGGCAAGGTCTCGCGAAGTACAAAACACACATCAGCTAAGCGGAGCTCCGCCCACAGTGGGCGTGGCGTGCATCGAAATGAACTGTACTGAGACCAAGATTTCAAGTTTTATAACAAAACAGCCTCGAAACTAGGGAAAAGGTGCGCATTGGTAAGTCAGATGGAATTAGGGAAACCCACCCTCGGTGGGCGGGGCGTTCTCCAAAAAAGCAGTGCTTAATGGAAAAGGTCTACGGACAACTTGAACTCAGTCCTTAAACCGCGTCGACTCGATGCTCTCGCCTGCGCTCTCTCGCTTAAACAGCGGCTTATGATTATTGTGATCTGACACATCCAAACTTTGCCACAATGTAATTGGCTCACCCACTCTGGAGTCCCTTAGTTGTTACGTCAAACGAGAGACACGCGCTGAATCAATATTCATGCAAAAGTTCTGCGCCTTTTAAAGTGGTGGCCAATCAGACCACGCGATCTCCTTTCGCCATAACACCATCTCTTTCGAGACGATACTGTTGTCTGAGTCTGTTGACTCTGATAACACTGGAAAAATAAACTCGCTATTCAGCGTACTATATTTGTGGTTTTTCTGTTACACTGAATAGAGTGTATTCTGAGTAGCCAGACATGGGTAACCAAAAAGTGTACTATTGTGAAATGCTGGAAGTCTATAGGCTTCTTGCCTCACCGCATCCATCGGTGCACCTTCTGGGTTTATAAAACAGTGAAAGTTTTTCAGCTATAATCGCTGCAAAATGCCACGGCAGAAAGCTCTGGAAGAGCATTGTGCATCATTCACATACATTTAACAGTAAATATTTCAAAACGATCCCAAAAATTTTGGAAGATGTAGAAGAGAATGCGCAAGGATTTCCCGACGGCCTAATACGTTGCCCCTGTCACTCATGAAATTTTCATATCGTTTGGTTCATCAATCCTTGCTTTACCACTTGCACCTCACCAATACCACTTTCTACATTACCGACCCTGCTTCTTCACTAATCCCACACTTTTCTGAGTCATTTTCATCAAATTTTTAAAGATATAATTTCCTAGTGTTATGCCTTTGGTGGAAAACATTCGTCGTATCAAATTCATTCCATCACATCACAAGAAGGTGAGAACTTCAATCCCGCTCGGATCTCCCATAGAAAAGCTCATGGTCTCGAAGTATGACCGAAAATTCAGGAAAAGTTCAGCAATAGAAGAAGCACGTATTGTTACTCTTACGAACGAACCTCCTCCGGCAATAACTGAACCATTTTCTGGTCAGCATCGTACCGGCACTTTGTTCGCGTGGTCACTGATATTTGCTCAATCACATTTGCAAAGTTGTAGCCGCGTGACTGCAAGTGTTCCTGCAAAATTCGTGTAATAGTACAGGTTTCGATCTTGACGACTTGGTCATGTAGGTTGAATCAGAAGTAAAAGCCGATTTGACTTTGATTTTCAAAATTTCACAAGCTTTAATAGGCGTCATATTTACTACAGCCGTCTAACTGTCCTCCATTTATACGCATGCGCATGATACTCCCTCTTAAGAATACCTAGGCTTCGACGCAAAGAAAAACTGGACGTTTATTTCGAGGTGTTCGCGAATTTTTCTCCTTAGGAAAGAAGCATGCAGAAGCGGAACGGTTGGTTGGTACACAACCAGCGGATTATGAAAAGTGTGGAAAAACAATGGAACCGAGTTCCTATATAATATTCTGACACTCGCTCGTGATATATTGGTTGCGAGTTCCCGCACAGTGGAACACTTTCATCCACTGACAGCCTCAATTGGCGATATAAGAACAAGTCTACGCAACTGCAAGCTCCTAGGGTCTGCGCTAGCAGTAGTAGTATTGGCTGAAGTCCGTAACGAGGCAACCCGAAAATCGGAGAACGGAGCCTACTCCGAGTGGAGGTCACCTATTGGAGCTCGTTGTCGCTGGCTAGCTGCACGTTCCCATAGATCCCTTCGTGAGTTACTCGAATAGGGATCGCACTTCTCAGCTCCACTGACTTGTCAAGCCAATCGAAGCTACAACTCTCAAAAAGCAAACTTTGGAAGATATTCACACGTGTCCCATTAACAACCGCATCCAACTCGTGTGGATTCCAACTTCCCTCTTATATAATTTCCTCGTAGCTCAAGCACGGCTCATGGTGCTCTGGGAGAACTGGAAGTTCACTGCAGTTTGACGGGTAATGGCCCACTGGTTGCCTTCAGAAACAGATGCGTTCAATATCTGAGGTCAGTAGGTGTCCGGGACGTGATTGATCTTACGTTAGAGGCTGTGGTCGCCCCGGCGAAACATCCAAAACCACTTTCAAGGGATCCACTCTTTTACCGTGTCTTGTCTTCAGCTTCACAAATATTCCGACACGCTTCATTCGCTCGTAAAATAGACTGTGACGTATATGATCGAAATGGATGACACTATTTCTTCATAGAGAAGAGTACTGACGTTTGGATTTTGTAAATAGTATGAAAAGAAACTAAGGGTGCATAGCACTCTACAGGAGGCAACACAAACTGTCCCTGGGGATGGCGTGGATATAAAGAAATCAGGACTTACTTATAACTCAACCTAATATTATATTTTTTAGTGAACTTTTTGAGTTGAATAGAATGCTAGGTCCTTATTCGCTGAAGCTACAGTCTAGTATGTTAGGCAACAGTTAGCCACGGAGTCCTCAGGCCGGTGTAAGAGTTCGCGTTCCGTCGCGCGAATCGCGGATTCTGACATCAGCCTTAGGCAAGGTTCTGTCCATTTTGCAACACCCATTTATAGTAGAGTCTTCCTCGAACCCCGGATCATGGAGCTAACTGCCATTAAATAGATCCATTCGAATTCTGAGAACAGTCGAACTAATTACGAGGACTAACTGAGCAACTCCAAAAACAGCGCACAATAGTACAGAAGCGCTATTGGCTTCACTGTGCATTCAGTTCTGCTCGTGGTTGAGTCCATTTTACCTCCTCATTGGTCCCTCAAACGTTCGAATATTGTAAATTTGCCAAAGCACTTACTTTGAGTGAATAACCGATAAACTGCTTGAAACGTTCGCAAAAAATGCTGTATGGTACGAATCGCCTTTCACCGCAAAAGCTTCTGAGACACAGAGCCGCATCCCTTACAACCTTAACACAAACAATAATATAAGTCAATGAAAAAATTCATGTTGATCAACACACACCACTTTGTCGGGTATGCATCCAGCAGACGACGAGGAAGGAAGCATCGAGCACCGATGTTCGACGAAGTGAATGGGAGAGATTCCTTTGTGGTTCCTTGGGTATGCTGAAGCGACCTGAGCTAATCTAAATACAAGGAAATACATAAAACACCTCAGCAAAAGGCGATGGTTTGGGTACATCACAACATCAGAATAAACTCGATAAGCAATCACTATCCAGCGACAGATGAGATTAAGGATATTACTAGGACTCAACGAGCTATCTACATGTATGATATCGCTGCAGGGTGAAGATACAATCAACTCTCATGTGATTAATAAAAAATAAAATATTCGGTAGCATTTTGTTCGGCTCTTTTTCCTTCAAATACGCCACGCATTCTACTCTTCCAGTCGGTTTCATAGGGGCAATGTAACGCACACACAATCCTGACCCAATTTGACAAAAAGTGACACGGAAGAGACAACTGTGCAATGCACAAGCTAGTGCTTCAGGCAAGTCTACAAAAAAAAGTAAAAAGTAAAAAGTACCGACGTTGGAGGAGATGAACAGGTTTTTGTGTAGGGTTGGTTGTGCGATATGCGTGTAAGACGACTGTCAGAATGTGTTCCCTTTATAATGAGAAATGCTGAACCCGTATCTTGAAGTTTTTGGTGAATTTTGACATAATGTTAAGAGTTCTCCTCCACTGTAACAGTTCCACCTGATACGGGGAACGTGGCCAGCCGCTGAATTGATGAAAGTTGCCATGACCCTTCTTCAGCACAGTTTAACCCTTTGACGACCGTGTGGCCCGCCGGTGGGCCACACTTTCGCTCGGTGGCGACACGTTTTTAGGGGTTTATTTTGGCATTTTTTATGTTTCAAAACTACACAAATACATTATCGAATTCGCGGAATAATGCGCTAATTACTAATAGTGAAATTGTTGGAGAGTTAATGATTATTGATGAAAAAATTTAGAAAGAAGTGAAGTGACGCATTCATAACGGCGGTCGTCAAAGGGTTAAAGGCAGCGATTACGATAGATCTCAAGGGGTTTAGAGGGGACGTGAGGGTCTCAATAGTACGCCAATGGCGAAAAAAGCAAAGAAATCCGTCAAAAATAAGCAAAATAGTACCCCTTTGATTGCCCTTTCATTTTCGACCATGGATGAGCGACGGTAAAGAACGACGTTGTTCGGACGTGTTAGCCGCCATCATGCCAACAAGCATAGTGTTTTGATTGATAAGGCAATACGTGGGCAAGTTGGAAGATACAGCCGCTAGAAGGGAAATGATCATCCAAAATGAAAAGCCAACAGCAAACAGTCCATCCAGATCATCAACAAAACTAGTGGGCGTCACGTCACTGGGGGCGGGGCGTCACGCGGGTCCTGCTCAGCAACCACAGCACCTTTCGCCGTGGGAGGGCCACACATCGCTTCCTTGGCAGCCAAGTAATTGCTCCGTGTGGCGCAGGTTCTCCCCCGATGCGAAAATTCCTTATCGTAATCGCTTCCTTTAATTTGAAAGGTTTGTTAGAGCTTGATCGCCATCGAGCTATTCAGCGAAGCTACTTGAGCTGGAAATAATCCTCTCAATGTACGTCGCAAATCAGTAGAAAGGTGTGTCGCTTACATAACATAAAACAAGCTAGAAATTGATGGACAACCCTTAAAATTGGTGGTTTGTCGCGACACGCCCCTACCAAATTTTCGCACTTTCCAGCCAATTCCGTAAAGCTTGGCCCTACATAATCATACCCTTCAAATTGGTGGTTTGTCAGTCCTCAATGGTTCTACGCACGAGTGCATCAATCAGAACTGTTGGCTAATCGCTGGCAACGTCCTACAGCCGAGCACCACTCTCATCATACCCAAGACTCTCGCTTTCGTTACAATTAACTTTTGAACTACTGCTTCTGAGCACATTTATTGCGGATCTAAACCAAGTGTATCGTTATTGTCTTGAACTAGTCCTGTTATTTTAAAGTCTATTTAAAGCTATAAAAAGAAAATCATGGCCTACTTGCCAATCATCGAGTATACCACATTCAAAACTCTAGAAAAAATGCAAGAAAATATTTCAGAACAAAGCTGAGCTAAACTTCAAATAGAGCAGAGCAAGCTCTTCAAGATGGTATCCACATTGATGGCAGTTTCTCTAGATTCGAGTAAAATGACCCTCAAATTGAGTGTCAAAAAACGTACAGATACTCTTTGAAACACCTAACCATAACCCGGAAGTCTTAATAAGACTAGGTAGAAAAAGAAGGCAAGAGCGCGAAATTCCCAAGCGACTTTCGGGCTATCTACAAAAATTACGTATAACCTTCCAAAGCACCGTACTGAAGCAAACGCCCGTGATTAACTGGGGCTATAACGCCTTGTAATGACTTAGATCCGGAACGACAGAAATGAATCAAAATCACGAAAAATCTCTGGAACGCTAAAATTAGTTGCGTTACCTTCATTCACCGTCGCTGTGGTACGAGGCTAGACCAGGCGATTAAAGAAGACAAAACACGCGAGAGATCAGGTCGTTTGAGAGAGCACGCTGATCTCTACATCAATGCACGCTGATCTCACCACCTCTCGCGGTGGGTGGGAAGCGTTGGAACGGGAGTCGATGGTTGCAGGCCCGTAAGGATTAGCGCCCTAACCGCGCAATTTTGCGACGAAGCTGGAGTGATCTAGGTAGGTACGGACCTTACAATTTCCCTCGTGTATCCTTCCTACCAGAAGGGCTAATGCCGGTTCGCCTTTAAGCCAAAGAACACAGAAAAGGACGCCTTGTAGGAGAGGTTGTAGAACAGAAACTCAACGAAGTTCATTCTGAAACTGACTAACGATCGGCATCGGTTACTCAAGATATCAGCTCAGAGAAGAGCATAATGAGGAGCAACAGCACTGAGGAAGTCACCAGAAGTAAAGGATGGTAAAAGAATGCTGCATTGCACTTCTGAAAGGAGATTTATCCCACAAAGAAAACGAGTAGAGGCCTCGCTTGGTTCCATACCACTCTCGACCAAGAACCAGGTTTGCCGAGAAATACTGAAGATGAAAATTCGGAAGCGGTAGCTCTTAGTGCGTAGTACCAAGTGAGGCATGGAAGGCCACCGGAGAATTCGGAATAGGCTGATTAATCCGATTCCACACCGTAGCCGCAGAAGAAAGGATGCCAGATGTCTGGATAATAGGTGACAAAACAGAATGGTGACGCGGTTTGTCCAGACTACCACAGGATCAAATTGATGCGCATACCCTGGATTGGTTAACTGGCTCGAAGGTGAGCGAGTTAATGCTCGGAGCAATTCGGAATCATGCAGAAGGTTGGATGTCATCTTATCTCAAGGCTAATGATGCACTCTAACTTCGACCCTGTTTGTTAGTCTTCCTCCACCTAGAAGAAGGAATCCCATTGAACCTTCATCGGTCGAATTCCGACACTTCCATTTCTTCAAGTTTCTTTTTTTTTTGAAAATCATTGATCAAAAATATAACCACCATCATAATCACTGATATGCATCCATTTGCTAGGGAACGAATGGATGCATTCCTCCCAGAACGAGTGAAGCTGTGAGATGAAGAGAGGTCGTTTTTGGGTGGTTGTATTTACTGACTTTTTCTCTCGTAGCTGCTGCTTCAGGGCAATGAGAGGTGGATATACGATGGAGTAATGTCAGGCTATACGATAGATGTGGTATCGTGGTCCAGCCAGTTTCCCTCAAAACGTGGCGAGTTATCTTTGCAATGTGAGGTCGGGCGTTCATTCGGAGAAAGGAGATTTTGAGACTTTCGAACGTTCTCTCGCACTGCTGCGGCCAACTTCGGGAGTTATTCCATGGTTACTTCGCAGTGTTGTCTGCATAAAATGGTTTCAAAATGGGATACCCAGCGAATCCTTACAATCTGGAGGTAATATCCTGTGAAGAAAGAGCTCCGGCTTATGGTTAGCCTGAGGTGGTATGGTATGGTATTTGAGGTGGTATTTCCCGGCTGCGAGGTAGCCATAGGCGTGCCGCGGTCGTGGTGGACTCATAACTCATCCGCATTGTTGACCAACTGGGGAAATCCTGTCTAAACGTCTATCGAAACGCGATCAACCAGCGCTCGAATGCAATCTGCGATCACGGAATGGAACTTTCGCAGATGGTCAGAGATGCCTCTCAGCCATGGTCAGTCGATGCATGTTGTCCATCGAGACTTCATTCTGCTACAGTCACTGCAGTTTCCTGGTCATAGCGTCCGGATGCATTTCCTGGATCATAGCGCAGGGTTTTCATCGAAAGTGATTGGAGGTCCAGGCAGGGTCAATTCTATGTTACGACAAGTACCAACGGAAGGGGGGGGGGGTCGTATCCTCCTCAAGCCTCATCAATTCACATGAGAAAATTTTGCCGTTTCACTGTACCTATAAATTCTCGGCCCGCTCGATGGCCGTTTTGGGGAAAGATGGGTGGAGTTAGGTGTGTCGACTGGTCTCAGAATTAAATACTATAGAAACAGCGACCATGATGGCGAGGGTGGTGAAGGGGGGGGGGGGGGGGTCGTGAAATTTTTGATTGTGAGGGGGGTCGTAAAAAAATTTCCGAAGAGTACCAACGGTAGGATCGACCCTGGGTCCAGGATGAGGTTGAACGTTGCAGCTCACGTCTTCTTTGCCGATGGTATTAAGCCAGTAGCTCAGTATCTGTTCAGTAGCAAAGACTGGACATACACAGCGCTGATTCTGCCTACTGCGCTCCTTGCATGGTTCCCCTTTAAATGGTCGTAAAGCATATTGGATGGTCATGTGAAGAGATTAATGTAAGGGCCGAGGACCACCCTACGCAGATAACAATGTCTGATAGTGGATAGCATAGAAGAACATCACGGCCAAGTGCATAGATGGCAGGAAGCGCTGGCAGCAAGTGGAACGGTGAAACGTGAAAAAGACAAAATTTCTGAGCTCTGAAGAGGATTACAGAGCCAATAGTTTACGGCCATGAGGAAATCATCAAAGAGTGGAGGAATTCCGATACCCCGGAAGCGGCCAGCCAGCGACTGTGACGGTAGCGTGTATCAAGCAGTGAAGGCACGACCCAACGCCACAAGGACCCTGTTGAAGGATTTCTCTAGACTGCTCTGTGACCAAAATTGCTTCAGAACCCTCACAATGAAGGTGTATCAAACCGTGGCCCGGTACGGCCCACACGTTCTACGGCAGCGAGGCTGACCCTTTCACAGATCCTTGAAAGACAACCTCGGCCCGCTAAAACAAGGATCCTGATATGGAATTGCGGCTGGACGCCGTTGGAAAAGGCCAGGAACGAGGATGTCAAAATGGTAATGCAAACGCCCTCGGTCAAGATGTGAGAGCAGAAAAGGAAGGCATTGGACCTGTAAGATTAGGGTGAGCGACGACGAGGAGCTGGTGGGACGGTGGGAGGGACGCATAAACAAAGGTCTCACCCAAATCATGGCCTTACACCTGCTCCCTTGAACAAAATGGTGACATCGACAAAGTGAGGGTTTTGCGATGTGCAGGATTACCGCAACAGAAAGAAATTAGTAGGAAAAATAGAAATCGTTTATCAAAGAGCTGGAAAACCCTGATTGAAGCAGCCTGAATTTTCTCTGAGGGTTTCCCTGATACATTCATAAAATCTCTACCAGGCCACTCACAATCAGCTCTCACGCATATGACATCAGACATGAACACGCCACGATGACCGAAAATAGTCAAAACAAAGTATATGCGAAATTCCGCTTCCTGCACACTTGGAAGCTCCGAAATAAAACATTTTTATCAATACATCATCAACCCAAACAAAAATTGCCAGACAGGCTCACGTCAACAAGCATGAAGTACGACGTTCAAGTGGACCAACAATTCCAACAGCTCGTTCACACTCCACAACTCATTTTTTAGGGGTAAATGTCAAACAGTAGGAAGAGTAGGAGATAAGCCTAGCATAACAGATGTCTGCATTTTCTTTTAACACTGATAGCCTGCTCTATGGAGGCTTGACCTTGTAGTTATAATCGGGTACCTAGCAAAACAAGTATACATACTCATAATAACTTTATCGAGATTAACATCTTTAAGAAAACAAGTAACGTCAACATCTTGGCGGCCTCAGTAACACGTGGGTGCCAGGGGGTAGCTATGGGTAGAGGAAGGGGTAGAGGGAGGAGATGGGGTGGGGTAATACAAGCCGAAAATAGAATGCTACACTGAAAAAGGTGCAAAGAAAGATAAATAGGTTCTTTAACAAAGGCTGAACATCTGAGTCGTAATCTTTGGTGATGAATGAGGAACTACGGAAGAAAACTGGGTAAATTCACTGAATATTGGTTGTAACAGAAAACGGCATTGACATTGCAATAAAAACATTAGCGCTTTTGTCGCCGAAGCGTCGGCGGAAAATGATAGAAAATACAATGCAACAGCAAAAAAAACCAAATTATTAAATAACCCTAGAAATCCTCAACTTTTAATCTTTTGCAACAATTTAATGCAGTCTCATAACGTTTTCTCGCACTACCGTAGAACAAGGCTTTAAATAGAACAGTGCTGGGTGAAATGGCCCTCACTGGACCTTGTTCACCATTCATAAAGGAATAAGGAGAAAACACCGGTCGAGGATTGTTTCACAATCAAGCACCCGTTCAGTCGCGATGAACAGTAAACAAGGTGTTAGAATTTATGCAATGACTATGAAGAAAACAACAACGCTGCAATGCAATCGAATATTATTACAACATCATCTCCACCTCGGGATCTTTCTTTGGTGCCACGAAATACGCTCTCATCCTCAATTTCAGCGGAGCATCGATAAGCGGTGAGTTGCTGTTGATCAGAGCTCGGATTATGTCCCCTTTCAGACGAGTGGCTTCCCATTCATGCTCAGTGGAAGGATCCAGTAACCAGTCGAGAAATCTGTAGAAATTCAAGTATTTTTTAAATACAGCATAACCATAATCTATAACTTTGAAATCTATTAGATTCTATGACTAGACCTAACGACTCAATAAAATCAAAATAATGTAAACAAACCCTGACAAGCCAAGGAATATCTGCAAAGCGAACGGATGGGCCAGCAGAGAAGCGAATGTGCGAAGAGATGCTAGACGGAGATCTGGGAATGGTTTCTGAACCAGACTCAACAGTACAGATGGCATTGGTGGGCCCAAATAGGAGAACCATTGCGCCAGCAACTCATTATCGCCTGCAAATGATATTTTAATGAGTTTTTCAACAGCAACTGGGGATTCCAAGACGACACTGAAACTATGAGTTCTTCAGTTTTATAGATTCCGAAAAAGGAGGAGCACATGAGAATGAACGGTTTGATTTAATTTCATATCCTAGCATAAAGTTTTTTTTGCTCAAAGACACAGGTCGCGAACAAGTCCTTAGAATAATTTTCTTCGTCAAAGAGGTAGCAGATCCTTTAGGCACAGGAGTCGTGGCACTTTCGACGCGAAGCGAGCGGCAAGGACCGTAAGGGTTTGCGAAGACCGCAACTAGCGCGTCATTTTTGCTCGTTCGCAGCGTGTGCGGTGTCTGCGTCCTCTCTTACAACGTGCTCTCTCATGTGATCCCTCTTAGGCCGATGTCAGACTTTGCGAATCGCGCGATTCGCTACTAGCGATTCGCGCGATTCGCTAGCGTCCGCGGTCGCGTTGCGGTACCAGCCAATTGAGTGATTCACTGGCCGCGACGCGACCGCAGACGCTAGCGAATCGCGCGATTCGCAAAGTCTGACATCGGCCTTCGCCAGCTGTGCCTCCATCGTACCACGGTCAAACCCTCGGGAATAAGATGACCTTAGTCCCACTGTTTCACATGTTTTTGCTTTTTCCCTTAGTAGCGAGCTTATTCGTGCCGTTCCTTACATTTTCGTGCCAACAAAACACATCACTGATAGCAACTCGTGCCTTCAAGTCCTCGAGTGGCAGACAAACAAATTAGCAAGCCTCACTGACATGGTGATGCTCACTTGAAACGTTCGCTCATGAAGCAATTAACTGACAAATTTGAGCAGCTTCTAGAAATCCTGTGCAAGTGATGGATAATAGCCGTCCATTTAGCCACGATAAAGTCACGAGCAGGTTAACAACGTGTTGCGCAGTTCTCAACGATAGGAGTCGCATTTGGGGCTGACAAAAGTACAAGCCCCAGAAAGGGGGTTGTATTCTCGGATAGTGGAGGAGTGGTCGTCGTTTGAACGGGGTTTTTCGAAATTCTGGGGCAAATTTGATAGGCAAGAGGAGAAATTGGGTGGGCAAGTAAGCGGAGTTGGTTGTGAATATGGTCGAGGTGTGAGGAGGGGAGAGGGTCATAATCAAGGAAGTAATGGTTTGTCAAAGACCCACACTTACGCCGAGACGTCGAGAAACCATAATACTAGTTGAATGTTAAGAAGACGTCATGAAAGTTTGAAATGAATGCCTAATTGGTTTTATTGCCTTCTAAGGGAAATGTCTTCGAAATAAGCTGGTCATTTTCGTGGACTAGACACCTTGGCACGACCCAAATTTGATATAATTCATAACGGAACTGAACAAATTATGCGCTGAATAGAGCAGGAGTCTAAGGAGAGTTATCCGTGCTCCAATCGCACTTTTTCCGCAAAAGAGCCACCATTCACCATCACTAGGAAGCCAGATTTACATCTCAAGAATTCAAAAATACCAACCAAGCTCGAAAATAGTTGCAAATGCGTCAAGATGCCGTACACGGAGTTCAACTGGTCCACTGGATAACGCCGCAGCGAAGGCTTCCATCACACGCGCTATGCCTTGATCACCTGCAGAAGGAAATTTGAGTATTACCAAACCAAAATGCAACAAACATAAAATAAACACTGAATGTATCTTAAACTTGAGAACTTTAATACCTACAATGGTTCACCTATAAAATTTGGAATGCTCCACCCTCACTGTATTTTCTAGTGTAAACCCGACTAACGCTTCACACTCTTTTGCAGCTAACTGTCTACTGTTTGCGGTTTTTCGGCCAACAAGGCCAGACTTTATGTAAGGGCCGTCTATATACTGAACCACCGGCGGTAACCTCGCTGAGTGGACATGGCAATTTACACTGGCTCTCGTTTGAATATTAACGGCTAATGTATCTCCAACTCTCCGATAGGCGTCACATAATGACCTGGAATGGGCTGAACTAACATTCTAGGCAAGTCAGTTGCGCAGACTGCCACCCAACTCGACCTCTACCTCCAATGCACTTATCCATATTCATTAAATTAAAAGGCAAGATGTACCGAGTAATT